GAACCCAGGGCTTCATGCATGCTAGGCAAACACTGTACACTAAACCATATGCCCAGCCCCTCCTGCTTCTTTATATTCTTATATACATATTTAAGTATATGTATATATACTTAAATATACATACATATATACATACACATTCATACATATTCATATCTATCTATCTATCTATCTATCTATTTTGGTCCTTGGGATGGAACTCAGGGCCTACACTGTGTCCCTTAGCTTTATTTTTCCTCTAGGCTGGTGCTCTACAGCTTGAACCATAGCTCTATATTCTTCAGAGCTATTCTTTGGTCCTCTATCTCTTAGGGCTTGCTTGTCTCTGAGATTCTGTGGGGTATCACTTAGTTTCTGTTGGGGAAGGTCTCAGCTATGGGTGCTAGTTGCTTCTCTCCCTCTTCCTCTGTGTCTTGCTTTCTTCTTCTGGTTGTCTCTCTCCCATCCTGATAAACCCTTATTTATACTCTCTCTGTCTCTGTCTCTCTTTCTGTGGGTCTGTCTCTGTCTTTTTCTTATGTTTCCAGGAGTGACTGCAGAGCAGTGAGATTGAAGAAAAGCAAAGGAGAAAGTCAGGGTCATTGGAAGGGGAGAAAAAAGCCCCCAGCCTCCCCCAAGCCATGCTTCAGTCCATATTAAGTTCCTTGGCTGCCCCGGGGAGTGTTCCGCCAGCTCGGTCTTGCTCCGTTACTCAACTGGTGTCCAAGTCAGAGTACAGCGTGTCAGATGCAGATTTTGGCAGAGGACTCTTGAGGCCAAAGATCTGGGGGAGCGAATGGAGGTGGGGCTTCCCCTCCCCAATACCACAGCTCTGTTCCTCTGGGAGGCAAAGGAAGGAAGGCTGGGCCCCCCTCAGGGGGAAGGTGACACCCCAGGTGTCAGGTACCTGAGAGCTGGGGGGTGGGGAGGGACCCATGGTGTGGATTCTGTCCTGAAAGTCTGGTTTGGGCAGGGCTGGGAGAGGGGGATTATGGGATTACAGGTCTCTGCTTTCCCAGGGCCTCCCTGCCTCCTCTGGGGGGGAAGGGTGCTGCCTGGACCCCTTCCAGCCCTCTCAGCAGTTTGCCCTGACTTGGAACTGTGTTCAGAGGCATCTGAGGGGTGCCCGCCTCCCTCGGGGGACCCCCACCCGCGGGAATTCAGAAGAAGGGGTTTGAGTGCTTGTCAGGGTTGGATGGGCTCCAGCTGGAGTGGCTGGGGGAGGGGGAGGAGGGATGGGCTGTCCTTTTTCCACATGGGCCCCACTCCAGGGTAGTCAACAGGCCAGAAACCAGGCCTCCAGCCCTCTAGTAATCCCAGACATGGATCCCCGCCACCACTACACATCCTCCTGAGAGGAAGAAGGCAGTGCAGATGACAGCCATGGCACTGAGGGGTGACAGGAGACAGACACAGACCTGACCCACTTCCCCGCAGCCTCCCCCCTCCACAGACCAGCTTCCTGTCCAGATCCTGCAATATGGTTCCCTCCCCTTCCCTGCTCTCCCCTCCTGCTCTTCTCTCTTCCCTTCTCTCCCTCCCCTCTCCATTTCTTCCTTCCTCCCTTCCTCTTTCCCCCCTCCCTCCTTCTTCCTTCCTTTTTTTGGGGGGTCCGGTCATGGGGCCTGAACTCTGGGCCTGGGCGCTGTCCCTCAGCTCTTCAGCTCAAGGCTAGCACTCTACCACTTGAGCCACAGTGCCACTT